AAGCATATGAAGTACCAAAGCTAGATCAAGAGGATATAAAACTGTTGAATAACCCAATCTCTGCTAATGAAATTGAGAATGTAATTGGGTCCTTGCCCACCAAGAAGAGCCCAGGCCCAGATGGATTCACTGCAGAATTCTACAAGAAATATAAAGAAGACCTAATGCCGACACTCCTCAAACTATTCTATGAAATTGAAAGGGAAGCAATCCTTCCTAAGTCATTCCTGGAAGCAAATATTACTCTAGTACCAAAACCTGAGAAAGACCCAACTATAAAAGAGAACTATAGACCGATCTCCCTAATGAACACAGATGCAAAAATCCTCAATAAAATATTGGCAAATAGGATCCAGCAAATCATCAAGAAGATTATACACCATGACCAGGTGGGATTCACCCCAGGAATGCAAGGATGGTTCAACATACGCAAATCAATAAATGTAATCCACCATATCAATAAAGCCAAAAATAAGAATCACATGATCATCTCTATAGATGCAGAAAAAGCCTTCGATAAGGTCCAACACTTATTCATGATAAGAACTTTACAGAAAATTGGAATAAATGGTCTTTACCTCAATATAATAAAGGCCATTTATGACAAACCAACAGCCAGCATCATACTAAATGGCCAAAAATTGAAAGCCTTTACTTTAAAATCGGGTACAAGACAAGGATGTCCTTTATCACCACTCCTATTTAATATAGTACTGGAAGTACTAGCCAGAGCAATTAGGCAAGAAAGAGAAATAAAAGGGGTAAAGATAGGAAAAGAAGAAGTTAAATTATCATTGTTTGCAGATGACATGATACTCTACATAGAAGACCCCCTAAACTCCATTGAAATACTCTTAGATACAATAAATAAATTCAGTAATGTGGCTGGATACAAAATCAATACTCAGAAATCAATAGCATTCCTATACACGAACAACAAAATTACAGAGAGGGAAATAAGAGAAACTGGACTATTCACATTAGCAAGCAAAAAAATGAAATATTTAGGAATTACTCTTATGAAAGAAGTGAAAGACTTATACAGTGAAAATTATAATACACTGAAAAAGGAAATTGAAGATGATCTCAGAAAATGGAAAGACATCCCTTGCTCATGGATAGGAAGAACAAACATTGTGAAAATGGCCATTCTCCCAAAACTGTTATACAGATTCAATGCAATCCCAATAGAAATACCATCAACATACCTTATAGATCTAGAGAAATCACTCCTAAATTTCATCTGGAACCAGAAGAGACCTAGAATCGCAAAGGCAATTCTAAGCAGCAAAGACAAAGCAGGAGGCATCACAATCCCTGACTTGAAGTTATACTACAAAGCAACAGTAGTAAAATCAACATGGTATTGGAATCAAAACAGAGCTGAAGATCAGTGGAATAGATTAGAAGATACAACCACAACTACGAACACACTCAACCACCTTATTTTTGATAAAGGAGCCAAGCAGGTTCACTGGAAGAACGACAGTCTCTTTAATAAATGGTGCTGGAAAAACTGGCTCTCCATTTGCCGAAAACTAAAGCTAGACCCATGTCTATCACCATGTACTAAATTAAAATGTAAATGGGTCAAAGATCTGAATATTAAAACAGAAACACTAAATCTATTGGAAGACAAAATAGGTAGAAACCTTGGAGACATAGGAGTAGGTAAAGAATTCATGAACAGGACTCAAACCGCACGGGAAATACTTCCCAGAATCAATAACTGGGACCACTTCTTATTAAAAAGTTTCTGCATGTCAAAAGAAATCTCCAGCATAGTGAAAAGAAAACCCACAAACTGGGAAAAGATTTTAGTGAACTCTCTCTCAGACAAGGGCCTCTTGTCTAAAACATATAAAGAATTAAAGAAACTCAGACCTCCGAAATTCAAAGATCCAATCCAAAAATGGGCATCTGAGATGAATATGCAATTCTCAGATGAAGAAATGCAAATGGCAAATAAATACATGAAAAAATGCTCATCATCATTGGTCATTAGAGAAATGCAAATTAAAACCACACTGAGATACCATCTCACTCCTGAAAGAATGGCCAGGATCAAGAAAACCGACAACAAATGCTGGAGAGGCTGTGGGGAAAAAGGAACTCTCCTGCACTGCTGGTGGGAGTGTAGACTGGTACAGCCTTTGTGGAGATCTGTCTGGAGATTTCTCAAAAAGTTGGGACTGGAAATCCCATTTATTCCAGCTATTCCACTTCTAGGCATATTCCCAGAAGAACTGAAAGCATCATACCACAGTGATATATGTGCACCTATGTTTATAGCAGCACAATTTGTAATCGCCAGATCTTGGAAACAACCCAAGTGCCCATCAACTGAGGAATGGATAAAAAAGTTGTGGTATTTCTATACAATGGAGTATTATTCAGCTATAAAGAAGGATCACATTGAGGTATTTATCAATAAATGGGCACAGCTTGAGACCATACTCATAAGTGAAATAAATCAATCTCGCATGTGTGAATACCGAATAGTTTCCCTAATGTAAGTAATGATTCAAATATATAAAAATATGTGGTAATCATGATTCCCCATTAGGTGGCCTTGAAGCCTTATAAAGTTTTCACTCATTAATTAGAAAGGCTTTATTCTGGGCTTCTTGATATGAAAATATTTGAAGCTAGAGTATATGAAGTTTTACCCAAATATTTCAAGGAAAAAGACACTATGGTAACTACTATTAAGTCAGGTTATAAGGTGGTGAAGTACTAGGTTATTGAAACAGTCATGCTGTGACCTCTATTGTTATATTGTTATGTCCTGTTTTATCTCAATCTCCGCCTTATTGTTTCAAAAAAAATTATTTAGTCATTTCTTATGTTTGTCTTAATTAAAGAAAAAATTCAAAAAAATTAGGATATATAAATAGTAACTCTTTTCGATTTCCTATTAACTTGTTTTGAAGTCCTGTAGTACTCCCACGATCTTGTTTTGACTGATTAGACTCTGTTCCATTCTATATGATAGTATCAAGTTTGAAGACATAGGCAACTACTTTGAAGACAATAAGATTCACTAAGATACCCATTCTGGTTTGACTATTGTCTTCTTTGGAAGTCCTGTAATGTTTACAATGCCTAAGTTTTATTGGTCTTGTTCTCTACTGTTTTGTCCAACTTTATAATATCTAATAAGATAGACAATTCTTTTTAAGGAAACAAGGGACAACGTTGATAACCATTGTTGATAAACTTGTACTCTGTTCTACACCATGTGCTATGTCTATCCTCGGTATTGACTGACAGCTTTGTTTTGCCATATTTGACTGTATTCTTCCCCCCCCCAAAGAAAGTAATAAGCACTAAGGAGTAATAAAATCCAAGATGTGTAAATTTTGTTGTAAAAAAGAGAGGGAAAAAAAAAAGAAAAGGAGCTCTAACGGATATAACAGCAAGTGTGTTTGGGGGTGTTAAATAGCTGACTTTATCAATGTTTTTGGAACATTGAACACAGCTGTTTGCAGTCTCCCTGTTTGAATGTCCACCTTGTGTTCTTTGATACTGTGATTTGAGGAACTATTTTCAAGAAAATAGTGTGTAATCTACTAGCAGGTAATTTCTTACTGTTATGGTTTTTTGTTTTGTTTTGTTTTGTTTTGTTTTGTAGTTCTGTATTGCGTGTACCCTTATGCCGCTTTGGTTTGTTTTGTGTTTTTCTCTTTTTCCTCTTAAATAAAAAAAAAAAAAAAAAAAAAAGCACAGCAGACAAAAACATGGGAAAGACTTCATAAAGAAGTCATCAGCAGAAAACTGACTGCGTAGGAGAAAGAGAAAGATGGTTTTGAGCATGGGATAGCGGATGAGGAACACAGACTCAAGGAGTATGGCCACTGCTTAGGAGATCTGAAAAAAACAGATCACTGTGGAAGCCAGAACAGCAACAGACACCGATCTAGGGAGAACAGTTTGTGCTTTAGTGAAGAAACAGACAATGAAACAGAGCTGAGCCCATTTCAAGAGAACCTGCTTGGGCATGGAAAGCTTAATGTTCTCAAGGGCTACATGGTGACAGGAGGGACAGATGGCAATGGCTTCCCTTCCATCAGTCAGTGGGGTGGGATCTTGCAGTCCTGGGTGGGTCTAGTTTCTAGCATGACGTGGAATCCCTCTAGATTTCCATTCAGGAAAACTTTGTTGCTTCCTTCCCTTATTTTTACTTGTCACACCATAGGTGTGACACTTATCACTCCCACAGTCACAGTGAGTCTTCAGCAATGTGCCATTTCTACTTGCCCCCCATGTAGTTTGATGCTGTGTGTAGGTGATACCTGATTTGCATAAGGTGTCTGGTTCCTTGGCCTCTATGCACATCCATGACACTGCATTGTCTCTACCTACACCAGCTACTTCTCCAGTAAGCTGGTGTGCCTACCTTTCTGCAGGTAGACATTTTTTTCATAATTGTGCTCCTGCTACTGTTACTAGTGCAGCTCTGCCTCTTCCACATGGGAACTTCCAATGTATGTGTGGGAAGAAAAACCCATGAACAAACCCCAGTAAGCAGAATAAGTAGCAGCAATATAGATAGACAGGAATCCATAGGAAACTGGAGTTCACTGCGTGTTGAGGAGACCTTGGCTTGTCCTCAAAATCACCAATTAGAAGGACAGAAACTCATTCTAAGCAAAGGACACAGCATGGGCAAGTTTATTACTTGCTGATTTTGTTCAACAGCTTTGGTACAAATAACCCCAAACGTGGGCTCCCTCAGCTTGAGTTTAAGATTTGTTATTTCACAGAGCAACAAGCTGTCCATAGGTAAGGAATGTACCCAGCCGAGTACGTCAGGGCCCTGATCCTACTTCTCTGTGGTCCTATCTTCTCTGTAGATTTGCTTCATGAACAGCAGGAGACTTCACATGCAGATAGGCCATGAGTATGAGGGAAGGAACTGTCTCTTCCTTGCTTCTTTTTTTAAGGACAAGGAACTATTTCCCCCAGGTCCTCTGACATTTTCTCATCTTATGTCACAGGTCACATACCTGCTTCTGAAGGAACAGGACTGCTGTGATGTTCTTAAACTATTTGGGATTTGTTTCAAGGTAGATGGAGTCATGATTGCTGAGAAGGGCCACCTGACCAGTACTATCCCCCGACGAATGAAGAAGAAGAGGAGAAGAGAGTTTCAGTGGATAATCACCAGGGTCAGACATTGCGCCTTTTTGCACATAATACTTTTTATTTTAAAAGAGGGAAAGAAAAGCACAAAGGCGCTATTGACTAAAACCAGGCTCAAGAAGGGAGCTGGATGCTGGGATGAGAGATTGGTTAAGGAGAGCAGCACACAATTACAAAAGAAACCCAGAGAGGTGAAGAATGGGCTTCTTGTGTGCAGCAGCTGTGAAAATTTCAAAATCTCCCCCTGAGAATCCATCAGACACTATAGAGATTGAGCCCTGCTGTGTGGGAAACTGCTGTGCTCACAGCCGGGAACTGTGCAGCTGGAGCTAGAGAGCTAGAGTGTTGGTCACTAGGTTTACTTGCTGGAGACTGTCCCTGGAGAAGACAAGACATCACTGACAACAGTTATTGTCAAACATGCACTCATCCTGAGAAATATATATATAGTGAGAGAGGCAGAGCTAGAAAGAGACACAGAGAGAGACAGATGCACACATAGAGAGCTAATCATTTATTTTTATGCATATTAAACCATTTCTGCATTTAGTAAAAGTCATGTCAGTAAATCAATAAGTAATTAAGATGGAACCATTTAGTCTGAGAAGGGTAACAGCATATGCAGCCATATAACCTAGTTCCCTATCGTTAGCAGGCTTTCAGTTTTTACAAACTAACTTAGGAGAGAAAAGAAAGGAGACCAAGAAAAACTCACCACTGCAGCAGAAAATTGAGCAAATGTGGACTGCAAGTGGTCTGCTTTTAGAGGCTGAGCAAGGCATGCTTGCAGGCAGGTTTGTTAAGTTATGTGCAAATGATAAGTTAAGTGTCATAATTATATCCATCACTGGAAATCTGCTAAGTATTGAAGTTGGCATTGATGGAGACATTGAAGGAGCAACCAAAATTCAACCAAAAATAAGCAAATGTGAAGGTATAAGATCAGATATAGAAGAAATGAACCATGGCGTCCCTTGCAGCAGCTAAGAAGTGTGCTCCCTAAAGACAGAAAGGAACTCCAAGCATCTAGCACATTCTAAGTGGGTAGGCTGGAGCTGGCTGGGTTGATGTGAGAAGAGTCCATTCTCTTACGGAGAGGTGCACAGTTACTAGGCTGGGTCCTGAAGGTTTGGCTCAGAAACTGACCCTCACTGGTAGTTTTCGAACTATGCATTGCATTTATAAACAAAACATTTTTTCATTTATTTTTATCACACTGCTTTTGTTTTTGCATGCTGTTCAAAATTCCCTGAGACTTTTGAAGAACAAATTCTGGATCTCTGTTATAGTATAAGTTAATCTGTAATCACTCAGAATGTTTGAATTTTTTTTCTAAAATCTTTTTGGAATCAAGGTATAAGATACTTTGAAATATTGTGGGCCCTTTTGCAGGAAAGGAGTTCATAATGAAACTGATCTTTGTAACAATTTCTAATTATACTACCGTACTGCTACTAATTATACTACTATACTGCTTTTCCTGAGCAATATCTCTTCCTGCAAAGTAATTCTGTTGAGTACTATTTTTTTTTACAGTATTGCTTAAAAAGCATGGAAAGATTTTACCAAAATATTTAGTGGAATAGAGATAGAGCCATGCTAAGAAGAATAAAAAGGCAGGGAGTCCCTGTTGTCTGGTATTTTGGGTGATTGGAATTGTATGATTTGGATATGTATGTCAGAGTTTAGAGAGAAGTAAGTTCACAATAGCATGAAAATGGTTATCACAGAATTGTTAACTTATAAAATCAGCCTCCACTCGGAATCAGTCCTCAACATTAGAATCATAGCCAACATTATTACTCTTCCCTTCTTGCCTCTTGTAAACAATCTTATAAAATACTCTGTACCTTAATGATAAATTGTAAATGTTCCAAAAATGGAAGATTTCATAAAGTTAAATAAAAGTGACGTTGAAGAATTTCTAGAGTCACATACAGAACTATTGATAAATGGTGGTTTGGAAGGAGCATTACTAGACATTGAAGAACAGGAAATCTTCCTGAGAAAGAAAACATAGACATTATAGAAAGGAGTAAGTGACATGAGTACTAATGAAATTAGGAAATATTGATAACATACTTTAATTTTGTAAAATAACTTTCCTTTTGATGGTGGTGGGAAAGTCAAATATAAATCACATGATTCTGCAAAAGCTACAGTATAGGGAAAATATAAAAGGCAATTCAGTCTTTAAGAATTAGTTAATGGTTATATTTATAGCTTGATTTTTATTTCAAATTTAGTTACAGGGTACTCATTTTCATTGAAATTTCTAGTCAAAACATTTTCATTCCTTTAAAAAGAAATTTTAGTTCGCATTTAAAAAAGCTTTCCTTTGCAGGGTCTTTTCCAGGTACCTATTATTAAATATCAGAGAGCATATATTGGTGTTCTTCTCTTTTCTCTGAGACATACAACCTTGCATGAAACTAGAAAATTCTGGCAGAAAGAGTATCTGGAATGGAAGCATAAAATTACCTTCTGGTAATTTTCAAATATGACTACAAATTCTTGGATACTTATCTTCAAGAGCCAGAGCTCAGTTCCCATTCCCTGAATTTGTGCTGCATTTAGCAGCTTCCTAATAATGAACAGAACTAATCCTGGATAGAATGTTTTGTCCCCCATGGCTCCCCAAATCAAGATCAGCCCAGAAACTCATAACATGGCCATCTTTGGAAACAGTGCTTGCAGATGTAATCGATTAACACAGAGTCATACTCAGTTTTAGGGTGGAGCCCAATCCAGGGACTGATGCTTTTCTAAAAAGGCAGATGCACTAAAGAAGACGGGTGTATGAAGACAGAGGCCAGTGTTGCAATGATGCATCTACAAGCCAAGAATGTCAGGGGTCCTTGGCAGCCACTGGGAGCTGGTTAAGAAGGGAAGGATTCCTCCTTTGCAGTTTTCTGGGAAATTCAGCCTTGCTGATATCTTGATTTTGAACATCTTGCCTCCAAAAGTGTGAGGAAACAAATGTCTTGTTGTTTTAAGCCAGCCTGTGAGTGGTACTGTGTTATGGCAGTGTTAGGGCCCTGACACAAGGTTAACACTATATCATGAAGGCTCTGCACACCTCCTTGCTCACTCTGCTCTTCCAGGGGAAGCCATCTGGCAGGAAAGAAGATGCTCAACAGCCTGAAGAGTGGCCCTGTGGTGAGGGACCATGGCCCCCTCCCAAAGGCCATGTGCATGGAGCACCAGTGGGCTTCTGACCCCACTGAAGACTTCACATAACCGGAGCTCCTGCCACATCCTGCCCACGCCCCTCTGAGAAACACTGAAGTCACAACTTCGATTAAGCTGCTGTCATGTTCCTGATTGACAGAGCCTGTGTGAGGATAGAAATTCATCACTTTAAACCCCTGAGCTTTGGCATAATTTTTTCATACAGCAATAAACAATGAATTCAGTTCCCTTTGTTCTCTTAGATCCAATTTCCCCAACTTCAAAGTTCCTAAAGATCCAACTACATTCAAAACACACTGAGAGCTGAACAGAGATTTCTTCTCCCAAGGCTCTGATAATTTTTCATAACTTCATTTCCAATCCTTATCCACCTCCTTTCTTTGACAGATTAAAAAGTAGCTTCTTTCTTTCACCAAGCTTGCTATCGTTCAGGCCCATTATCTTTGAGATGTAAAGATTGTAAATAAAGGGTGATTGCCACTTTCATGAATGAAATTTATTAGTTTTATCGCCTTGGCTATTTCCAAAATGGTCAGAGACTCCACAGATCTCCTTGGAAATGCTCTTGGAGGCAGATTCCAAGGTTGGCATTCTACCCAGCAAGCCTTAGTGGATGCTCACGGGGGTGTCTATGAGAACAGCTGGTCCTTGGCTCCCCAATTCCTCTGCAGATCAACGATGCAGCTGTCTCCACAGCTTTACCAGTGAGGAGATGAAGGAAGAAAAGGGTCCCCAAGGACGAAGTAGAGGGAAGATATTACATGGACAAACAGTTGGTCCACTTAGGCAGGCACTGGTTGCTGCCTGATTTGAGAAAAACTTATCAAATACTTGCGGTTCATTGAACACAAGATATGAGGTCCCGAGTGTGCAAGAAAGAATAAGATAAGAATCTATTGTTGTCCATCAAGGGATCCTAAACCATAAGATCACAACATGACACACTGTAAGAACAATAATAGCAATATATACAAAATCTCAGCGATGAGGAGTTTGCAAAATATTCTTCCATTCTAGAATCTATTTGCACTGCAGCCTTGTTCACCACTGGGGTTTGCATAGGGAGCACCTTCAAGGTGTTAACTGCAGCCATACAATGTTGGAGGAGGAGAAGGCAGCTCAGGGGAAGAGGAGCAAATTCACTTACACTGTAGGCTCAACACTACGGGCTCCTGCCCCTTGGGTGACTGATCCAGCTGTAACAAGCATCCGAGAGTAGAAATCTTGACCCGGAGCTGCCTGTGGTTGGTAACGGGAGCTAAACTTCTATACCAGGTGCTGGCGACATTCTAGGCAATTTGCAAATATTAGCTCATTGAATTCACCCCTCACCCTTAATGTTTTGTTAATGTATATTTACTATACAGGGGGCAGGTTTCTTGGCACACTTGTAAATGCATGAAACATACTTTGGCTATTTCTACCCTTTCTCCCCTTGCCACACTTTCCTTCTCTCCACCCCACCCCAATTCCCTTCCTCTTCTCTAATAGTCTCCCTCCTATTTAAATGTATCTTTTATTCTCTAACCCCCAATTCCACACACAAGAGAAACCAGGATATGTGTCTTTCTGAGTCTGGCTTATTTTACTTTAATAGACGATGTCCAGTTCCTTCCATTTTCAGGTACCATTATTATCCCCGTTTGACAAGTAAGGCAACTGAGGCAGAGCTGGGTTCCAGCCTAGGCAGTCTGGTTCCACACTCTTCCCCCACGTTAAGTTCTGTCCTGAACAACAGTAAACAGTTCAGTTTAGTCTTTGCTGTAGCCAGTTTTAAATTTTGATCAAGCGGCCCAAGTCAGAATCACAAGCCTTGGGAAGCAAATTGCAGAAGTCTAATGTTGGTGTACATTCTGTTGCACCATAAATTTGTGCCTGCACTTGGTAGACATGTTTTTAAAAAACTAAGTGATGGGCAGAATAATTCCACTGTTTTGTGATCATGCCCTAGAAAGGTTAGGAAGTCCGTGGCTCACCTGGATCAATGCATCACTGTGAGTGTTTAAAGCCTAAGTAAAATTTCATGCAATATTTTGTAATGCAGTTAGTTAGATGAGCTCACTGGTGCCTGGGCAGGCAGAGCGATCGGATGTGGAGCAATATGGACTGTTTGTCTGGGACTGGGCCATTCCTTGTGAGTCTGAATACCAGCTAGTGATTCTCTGCAGCTCACCATCGATGCACTTTAAGCAAAGGCTGTGAAGAAAGAGATTCTGAGTCGCACATCAGTCAAGCTGCATCAGCCCTCTGTCTTAACTGGTGGCTCTAAATAACTTTGTGAGAAGATAAAATTCTTTGCCCATTTATGAAAAATATAATCAGACAATGAATACCGCAATCTTCCCTCTCTCGGGGAAATCTCTCCAGAAGGCAAATGCTCCTACCTAAGCACCCTCTGGGTTTCTGCTAGTTTGAAATCTGCCTTACTTCAGGAATCACAGCAGCTTTTGATGGGCAGGGGTGCTGAATGGACTTCTATATATTTAGAGATGTGCATAATGTCAGAGTCTTTTACACCTGTCATTGCAGTGAATGAATTGAGTAGAACCTCTCCAACCCTTTTTCAGATATCATGGCCTCTTGGATATCCTGATACTGTATCTCAGCACATCTCAAAGTACATTTATTTCACTACAGTCTCTGAAGTTGGGATGTGTCTTACAATTGTTAGCACCTTACAATTGCTGTCATCTTGGTGACAGCAGGGGCATGCCACCTAAAATCATGCTGCTTCTTATAATGGCTGGAATCTTGGGATTTGACAGAAGAGTGTGTTTGTGTAGCACCCCAGGGTAAATGTGCCAGGCTGCTCCTGGCTTGAGGGAGCTGCCCGGGGAACCCTGGAGCCCCTGGTTGTTGGCAGCATCTGCTGGGGGCTAAGAAACTCTATCTGTGATTCATTTGGGACACTCCAGGGGAGCAGCTGTGCTTCCCCCGTCTCAGCTGCCCTGTCTATAAAACAGGCCATAACTAGGGGCTGGGGGTTTAGCTCAGCGGCATAAGCACCTGCCTTGAAAGCAGGCAGTCGTGAGTTCGATCCCCGGTACCGATAAAAAAGGAAAAAGACAAAAAAAAAAAAAAAACAAAAAAAAAAAACCAAAAAAAAAAAAAAAAAAAAAAAACAGGCCATAACCACATCTTCCTGATGAGAGGTTTTTGTGGACTCTCCATGAATTTTCTTGCACAAAATACTTTCATCTATCTAACATTAAATAATTTCAGTCTTTGCTACAGCATTTATGAGTCAGGATTAAGGTAAACAACCTAGGCATGGACCATGGGTACAAAATTTATGGGGTGTTGACATCTCACTGACCAAGGGAAATCATGTTTTCATGTAATACTTAAAGAATAAAAATGAATGTGAAGAACGGTAGGAAAAAATCACAGTTTTAAACAAACACAGGACCTGGTTCTTCATGTGGATAAGCAATTCTTTGCCTTGCATGAATCTCAGCTCTGTGGGATCCTATCTTATTTGATTGAAATGATCTTTATCAGAATTACCAAGTTTTTTGGTGTCCCCTGAAATGTCACCCTTAAGGTCGGTCCCTCTGGTCTCTTTCTCTGGTTAAACTTCCAATACTAGATTATTCTGAATTGCACCCTGATTGATGTGATGCTACTATTTTACTCCTCTAATCATTCAGCAAGCTTCTGATCTATGCCAAGGGTGGTGCTGGGCACCAAGGTCACCCAGATGCCAACATAGAGGGCTGCCCTGTGGAGATAGCAGATATGCAGACAAATGCTGTGCAAAATACTCTTTAGGGGGGTAGTAAGTGCCTCCATTTATTGATTTGCTCTGGAATTCCTCTGTGTATGCCAGACACCCCACTATGCATTAGTGACCACTAAGAACAAAAGAGAATACTCCCTTCTCCATTTTCAAGTTTCCTTACAAAACGCTCATTTACAGTGCCCCACAGGAGGTGGTAGTGAGAAATCCCTTCAGTCCTAATTCCCAGAAATCCCAATTGCAAAATTGCTGTGACTACTTCAAACACAGCACCCAGCATATCACCCAGCATACACCACGCATTCAGTGCATAAATGTTTGCTCAAATGAATGAACTCCTCCAGTAACAAGGAGACGACAAAGTGCCCTCTGCCCACTTGAAATTCCTTTTGTGAGACTTGGCTGTTGGTGGACTTGGGTCAGTGGCTCCATCACTCATTAGCTGTGTGATCTTGGTGTATTTACTTAATCCTTCTACAGCTATTTTCTTTATTAGGTTGAAATACCACTGAAAGTGCAGGTGCTTAGCAAAACTGTGGCTCTGCCAAGTACATTATAAAAGGGGTAACTTATACAAGATACTTGGTGGATATGTGTTCTTTTCCCTTCTCATTTTGTTTTGATGGAATTGCGTGTCAGAGAGCCTGAGCCAACCTCAGGCAAAGAAAACCATTTGGGAAAAGAGGTAGTGAGATTTCACAGCTGCTGCTGTGCCAAGGGCTCTGACCACACAAAGAATGGGACCACTTTGCATCAATGTCCTATAAGCAAACCGGGTATGGGGTTTGAATAATTCAGGCCCATTTCCATGAGGCAGTCACAGATGGATTGGTTTCTCCAGGAAAGGATGCCAGACTTGGGTCTTTAGCTATGGCTTGATGAAGAAATGCATCAAGAACTGGAAGAACACACATGGAAGGGCAGGGGAGTCCTGAAGGCTATGGCAGAGATGCAAATTGACGCTGTGTCATGAAAACAAAAGTTAAGCCATAAAATGTCACTTCCTATGCAATTTAAGAGAGATCTATGAGAAATAAACTTTGGAAAACTGCTCACATATATCAGTGTATTACAGGTGCCGGGCAAAACATTTTTATGAAACTATGCAGTGCAGTGTATGTATAAATCTGTCCTGAGTTTTATGGTTCCATATACAGAGTCATAATGTATATAAAGCAGAGGAACATGGAGAACCAGGTCATTGCTTTAACCCATGCTGGTCAAATGGACTTGGAATAATCCATCCAACTTATGCAGCATCAACCACAGAGCTTATGTTTTCAAGGGATGTAAGTAGCAAGAGCAGACATGGATGCATTCATTTTTATTGGGCAGCAGGTAGGTAAAATACAAGCTAAAATCTCTCAATCATTTGTAATGGTTAAAGTCTCACTAAGTATGTATTCATTATTTCACTTTGGCCCTGCGGTAACTCTGAGGCAGTCACTACTATTCCCATTTCACGGGTGGGAGAATTGACATCCAGAGAGGCTGGGTTACACATGGAAGGACACAAGGCAGAATTTCTGCCCTGGGATAGAAGTCTCTTGAGAGCAAAGAGTTTGTAAACCACTGTACCTTCAGCATTTAGTACAGCTCCTGGCACAGTGTGCTCCTAATAAACTTGCTCAGCAAGTGAGTAAAGATGGAAAATCCTGGTTCAGCTGTCTTTGTGTCTGATGTTCTTCCCCTGGTGTCTTAGCAATCATGAGAGGGATGGGGCAGCTCCTCCGCATAGAAGAGAAGTTCA